GTACTGCTTGCGGGTGCCATGTGCGGAGTGCTGGACCCCGAAGCAGGCTTGGGAGGTGGTAAATCGGCCAGCTTATCAGGCACATGATTCACCCCACCGACGTTGGTGACCGAAATTTCAATCGGACCGGAACATTCGGGACCTGTCACGTCCGTCTGAAAACGATTCGGGTTTGAATTGGATAGATAGGTGGAGGGGAGCGAATGAAGGTGGGCAGATACATAAGCAAAAACATCCATACATAAAAAGAACGGATGACCTGGACCGAGAAGTGTGTTCAACGCAACATACACGTTTCAGAACTCGTGATCCGGAAGACGGTGACAGGTATATAGATAGGATGATGCAAATCAGAGCATATGGGTTATCGAACTGTTTGAATGATGGTTAGGCAACGTATCCATGATACATGCTCGTACATACATACACACGCACACAGACACACTGTCTGATCAACCAGGTATGTCTCAGATCAGCAATGTCTATTTTTCTTCACGGCACTCGAGTTAAGACTCTTCATATTGAACGGTTATTTCAACCCTTTCATACACTGACCAGTTTCAGTTGATGGTAAAATACCGTAAACGCAGTTCGATAAACACGCACATATACATATCGTTTAATTCGAGGGTTATGTAAACTAATTATTTGATTGGTTAGATACATTCTCAAAGCTTGCAGGCTTGGGTAGTCAGGTTAGATCAGTATGCTGTGAAGATTTCATGCATTCCACGATAAAGTTCGACTTCAAGTAGAGTGATTGATTGTTAATATGATGACTGAGAAGTTGTCAGTGCTCACTTCGATTTACGGTCTGAGTACTCCATGCGGCTGAATGGAATAATGTATGCGCAAGACAAATTGATTGATTAATTGATTGATGGTTGTCAAGGCGATCAATCACATTCCTAAGACTGATTCACATGCTGTGCAGATGCCCTTCCCCACACCGGACGAGGGGGGGGGAGGAATGCACACGAATTATACTTTATAATAATCAGTAAAGCTTCCACCTCTACTCTGGACCAGCTCGTGTCTGCTTCATTACTTTGTGCGCATATGTGCCACAAAGAAAAGCCTAGAGTAGCTTATGGTGGTGAATAGATTGCAGCATTTTGACGTGAACAGCAAATAACCACATCAACTGATGTGCCCCGACCCCGGGGACTCAAAACATACAAAATGATCAGTTTGAAAGATCAATGTGCAACTGACTATCCTACTGCAACTCAGAGTTGTTTAAATAACTGAAAGATATTTGTTTGGATACTTCCTCATATTTTTTCAATCAAAATTTTCCCCGGGATCAATAACTAAGTCAAAACTGTGCCCCGCTTCGCCACCCCTGAACACGATACTGGTCAGCTGGGTACACACGCGAAAAACAATAGGCATGCCAATTAAGAAGCTGAAGTGGTAACAATCGCTGCAGTCCCTCCCTCCCCCACCTTACCGCCTGATACTCTTCGGGATACTGTTACGAGGATCTATGGTTTTGGAGCTTTGCAATGTGGATGAGGGGGTGAGTGGAATATGAGAAACTAAAAAGATTGTTAGGACTGTTGGACAACATTTGAGTTAATGAAACGACAAATGCTGGGACATCTACATATATTATTACAGTACTTACTGAGATATGCGATTATTAAAAACATAGGCTCCAATAACAAATGGCAACCCCAAAAATTTTTGTGTTCTAATTCGCAGGATGATCACAACTGCGCATGTTGAGGAAGGGGGTATACTGGGTAAAAATAA